ACTGGGTGTTTCCCAGTACGAAATGATGAAATCAAATCACAGGATACTGGGACAAAGTCATTTATCATGCTCGGTACAGATCACCATGAGACTGTTGTGTTAGTTGATATGTAAGTGTTCGTGAAGGGCCTCAACCCCATGACTGAAATTGTAAACAGATGTTCGATGATGGTGAAGATCTATGTAGACTTCAAGACTGGGCAGAGGGTGAGAGTGAGTTAGTGAGTGAAATGTAGAGAGGGAAAAACGGTGTGCTGAAGAGAGAAAGACAGACTTCAATACTGAATCAATGCAATGCCGGTTGTTGGCGTAGTTCAGTGGCATAGTGGTACAATTAGATAGAGAAAGATTTTTGCAGAAACAATAGCAGAAAGATTTTCAGGGTTTATATAGTACCAAATCTGTAGCAATTATAAATTTTACACTGAAAAATATGTTGTTCTAGGTGCAAAAATGGTTTTCTAGAAGTTGTTTAGAAATTGCTATAAAATTTACAAACAATTACAAAGAAACAGCAAGTAAAATTTCGAAGTGTAAAAAACAAATAAGTATTTTCTTGCCAAATTTATTTCAATAATCCTTTGGAATTTGTAACTTTGAAAAAATATATAGGATAGATAGATAGACAGACAGACAGACAGACAGATAGATAGATAGATAGATAGATGAGGACAAATGAGGACAATGGAAGCAATCAAATCAACAAAAGAGCAATGATATGCAAGTGCTATAACAAGTCTCAGTTAGCTTAATGCAGTACACGTAGCAAGGTTTTTTTTTTAATCATATAATAAATAAAAAGAAAACAGATAGAATAGAAAAAGTATAGAGCAAGCTAGTGTTAGAGGTCTTTTTTGCTTTTGTTAATCAGAAGAAGTCAGAAAGTAGAATAGAAAAGAAAAGAAAAAAGAAAAGAAAAGAAAGAACAAAAAGAATATATATATATATATATATATATATATATATATATATATATATATATAGGCTGTATACCTCGATATAGGGCTATTTGCCCCATAGGAAGCATTCAGTATAAAAACCAATCAGTTTAGTTTACTCTTGTGGTTTAGTAAGAATAATTACCTTGATTCTTTGAGTATAGCCTTCTTTAATTTACTTTTATGTCCGCTACTCAGGCACAAAATATAATGCATGTACAACATACACAAATAAATTATGCTATGCAGCTCGCAACTAAACTAAGTCAAGGTAATTGTTTCCCATAAATCCCTTGGGGGAAGTCGACAGTTAGGTTTTGCATACTCAAGTGACACAAGTCAGACAAGTCAAGCATGTTAAACTGTGAAATTAGATTTTTTTTTTCTTTTCTGTTTTTTATTACAGTAGAAAATACAAAGGGTTTTCAGATCTCCAGGTTTGGCTTTAGAATGTCACCATCAAGGAAAACGAATATGTGTGAGACTGAGATACTGCCGTTTGGTGACCACCAGCAGGGCCGAGTAAATATTGCTTTCACATCACAAATATGTCATACGCCACTGAAATGAAGTCCGATAGCGAAGTCAAATGGAGACACACAATTACCACAAGGAAAGGTCAACTGTAATGAAGTATGCAGAGGGGATTTCACATGCTTACAGTGAAGGCATCAGAAGAAATTGCCTAATGTGCATGAAAACAGTTCAAATGTACATGGCACAAAATGTTAGTCTTTAAATATCCTAATTTTGAGATAATGTTGTCAGCAGTTCTTCAAAAATGAGTTTGTGTTCCTTATTGCTAAAATGTCCCTCAGGTGACACATTTGTTGTCTTTCTGTAGTTTCAGATTAATTGAAGCACAAACTATGATATTTTTGTTTATTTTGTGATTTATTTTTTCATAATGAGAAAAAACTAAATATTGTTTATCTCAGCAGTAATGGATGTTTTCTCTGCAAATGCTCAACAAGTCAACTATTTGTATCTAATACAAGTAGGGAAACATAATTGAAAGGCGTCTTTCAATTAGAATTTATTTAACTTAAATAATGAAATAAAATATGGAGCTTCAAAGTTTTTACCAACTCTCTCTCTCTCCTTTATCCAAAGGAAAAAAAATCACTCTTGGCAATATGCAAATAAGGCTGCAAGCTATTACGATGCTAATGAGATTCTCCAGCAAAACTAGCAGTTCCTCCTCGAGCACAGGGGTATTCATATTCAGAAAACATTAGAGAGAGAGAGCGTGTGTGTGTGTGTGTGTGTGTGTGTGCGTGTCCTAGGTCAAAATCACAATGTTCAGTGCCCCTGTTCTTGCATTTATCCCTGTGTCCTGCAGTGAAGATTTGTGTATTGAGTAAAGTATTACTCATCAACAAGATCACACCATTATTCATTATTAATTTCACTAAGTTTGTTTGTGTTGATGGAGATGCTTACAGTAAATTGATCTTACAGGCTTGATGATGCTGTTGTTTGTCATAAACTACTATTAGGTGTTTTGGAGCATTGGGGGAAAAACAAAATGGATGTTTGATTGCTAATTATGTGGATTTTTACATTCAGCAAAGTTAAAACTAGTAAAATCATGGACCTCAAAACCATGATCATTAACGACAATGAAAAACAAACAAACAAAAAAATCATATCAAATTAATTTTTAGGGCCCCAAGTCCATGATTTTAGGATGCCTATTTTATCTATGCCCCAGAAAATAAATCAAGCCTGTAATGGTAGATAAACATACATTTTCAAAACAATAAACCCAACAAGGAGATTTCTGCAGGTAAAAGCTGTGTTTATGTATGTGTGTGTGTTTGGGTTCAAACCTGCCGAGAAGGTGGCATCCGCCACGCACCATGGTACGTTACCATAGTAACAGTGGGGCGAAGGATTGTCTATATGTGTCCTGACCCATTTCGATTTCCCCCAGAAGTGCTCTTCCTCTTTCACCTTACCACATATATCTCCCTCAACACCACTAACTCCACGCTCGGGCTCTACTTCTAATTAAAAAAACACTCCAATTCCAGCCGCTCTCTTCTTACACCCCAAATTAAAAGTTTTTTTTTTTTTTTTTTTTTTTTTTAAAGCTGCATAGCTTTTGCAAAAAAAGTGCTTTGGGCAAACAAGCCCATTCCTTCTGAAATGTTGAATGGAAACTTTTGAGATATTAAATAATGTAATTTTTAATTAAGAGTTTTATTAATAGATTTTCGCCCCAACTTTCATAATTACCTATCTCTGTGCCTGGAGTGTTTGGAGTTGAACTTTCATTTGTCTAAGATGGTTGAGCCTCAAATACTTCAACAGAACATTCGATATAGGAATAAAAAATATCTTATTATGGTTAATTAGCATAAATTGAGGAAATTAATTTCGGAGAGCATTTTGGCTTTGAAAAGGCTTCCACCGCTCAGTATGCAAAGGTATGTATCGACATTAGCATTAGATTAACAAATTAGCATAAAAAGAAATAGGCATCATCGGAATCATTGTTCAATCCTGAATAACTCCAGCAACCTTCTTTTCAGTTTTCAAGCACATTTGTACAGCACTGTATCTATTTACAACTGATGCAGCTAAACCAGAGAAGCCTCAGGTGTGGCCATTATTCTGATATATGGCAGTGTGGTGCTATAACATTGCTATATTATTTTAGTTTTAAATTATAGACGTTATTTTTGGAACTATAATGTATTAGGATCATAGGATGCTGTGCCGTATTAACAAGAACACAATCACAATCTGTACAATTTATGTACAGATGAAACATATAAAAGCTAAACCTTTACAATGTGGGATTAAAAGTGTTTTTGAGTATATGATCTGCATTTGTCAGTCTTATTCATGGTGAGTCAACATGCACCCAAGCATTACATCATATTCTGTACTTTATATCTGCAGACATTATAACCTTTTAGTGGACTTATTTAGTTTTATTTCACCTTCTGTCTCTGTATATTCTTTTAAATCTGTATTGAGATTATGAGGTGCACGTTTTCATTAGATTTTTACCACCTAAAAACATGTAGAATCCTTTTGAATACTTGAATTCTTTTAAATAAATATATAAAATATAAAAAAGAGTAAATTTAACTAGCCCTAGAATTTTAAGATATGTTTCAAATGAATAAACAATTTAATGTGGTTATATTTTGCCCCCACATTTTGAATTACTGGTGCATTTTTGCTCAGAGCCCCCATTACTTTCTGACACTGGCATAAAGTCTAAAACTATTGATGTTATGATTTTATGGTATATATGTCCACCATTATTACCCAGGAAAGACAGATACTGTTCATATATGTAACTTACATTCATGTGGCATGTTGTCACAGAATATGGGGAAAGTTGTCACAGTGAGAACCATATGCTTGATCTGAAACACTGCACTAAAAGCCTGTGACAATTTGCCCCAGCCTAGCATTTGCTGCGTAAATTGTCTTAAACTTGATAATACTGAACTTGACCTTAAAGTATACCATTGTGGTTTTATTGTATTTACTTTTTTTTTTTACCATTTTACATTTACGCATTTGGCAGATACTTTTATCCAAAACAACTTGCATTGCATTTAAGGTATTTATTATATTTGTGCATTTCTTGCTTTCCCTGGGATTCGGACCCAAAACCTTGCCGTTGCTATCGGTGTGCTCTACTGTTTGAGCAACAGGAAGATTAGCCCTACCTAGTAGAATGTGACTGTAAATTTAATCTGACGGACATAATTCACAAATTCTGTATTAATTGAATATAGCTTTGAACAAAATGCTTAAAACCAACACTGCTAAGAAAACAACATTTTAGTTACTCCCCATGTGACAACTAGCCCCGGTTATGTACAACGCTGCCACGCTCATTTGAAAGTTACCGAACACAAATATTAACATAAAGGCCAGCCGGTTTTGGTGGGATGGTAAGACTTGCTTGGCTCACCCTCAACAATGTTCCAGTGCAGCCTGCGGCTATCCAATGAGAGCCCAGCCCTCCTCCCCCTGCTCTCCTCTCCCGCCTCCTCAGCGAGCTCTCATCTCTCAGCTCCGCGTGCAGCCAGTGACTGCTGCTGTCTCGCGGCGTTTGGAGATCTTGCAGGCGCGCTGTATGGATGCTAAAGCTTTGGCGCTGCTCTAAACGCGACACGGAATCAACATGTCCAACCCTCCGCACGACCCTTTCTACTCGTCCCCTTTCGGACCGTTCTACCGGAGACATTCACCGTACATGGTGCAGCCTGAGTTCAGAATCTATGAGATGAACAAACGACTCCAGTCCCGGACAGAGGTGAGTTTGGCATTGCTCCACATGAGACAGTGACAGCTGTAGTTTGGGAAAAGTTATGTTGGCCAGTGCATTTGCAAAATGATCCTAATTCTTTCCTAATTGGACAAAACTGAGAGCGTGAACTTAAGTGATCAAACTATATCTGTGTGACTTTGTGAGCACTGCAAGTTACATAGATGCACAAGTGTACTGTGCGTTGTGATAATGCTGAGTGCATCATATTGCTCGGATTACTTAAGTAGATCTATTCGGGACAGTGATTCCTAAAAATTCCAGTGCACTTCCATGGAATGATTTCCAACTACGAGAAAACAGATGTGCGTTTTTATATACATTTTCAGAACATAATGCACATTTAGAGACATATTTAAGGCTTTCTCAAGCATTTTTATGAATTCACATCATTTAGGCACTGTGTACAGAAGCAACATAAGCATCCACTTTGATCACTAATTAAAATACACGTGGAGTCAGTGAGTTAATGAGCAGAGCAATGATGCTCTTCTCCCAGAGCAACACAACTGTTTTAAATAAAGATTTAAAAATTAACTTCAACAATAAAAAATATACAAGCGTTTCTACTAATAACCTGACTGATAATTTAAAGGGTAAAGGAAATGAGTTAAATGTGTGAAAGATGCCAAAAGCACTTTATGGTAAACAGAAGCATTTGATTTGTTATGAAAGAGAAAATGAATAGTCCCACAAACTTTCTGCAAAAGCGATGTCTGCATTGGACTGAAAAACATTACTTGATTTTAGTATTTTAGATGCATTCAAAACGTCAACATCTGCCTGTTGTCATCCACACCAAAAAGATGATCTTAATAATTAGGCTACTAATATTATAAAAAATATATTGTAGTCAAAAGCTGAAAATTCAAGGTAACATGATGGAATATGACTTTTGTCAATTTGAATTTGTTGTTCACATTCACATTTAGCAGATTAATTAAGTCAACAATATATTTCTTATTCACCAAATTTTCAAGTAGCAACACAAAATATTTTAATCTTCATCAAGCATTTAACCTCAAGGGAACTTTGCAATCTGAAGGACAGATCAGTTTTATATAGACGCACACAGACCTTAGTAACGGTGAAAACAAACAAGCATAATAAGATTTTAGCATCACCACACAAAAGAACAGTGACAACCAAAACATCATAAATAAATTCCGAAAACAGTAAAACAATAATCCTATAATAGTAAACACATCATTTATTTATTCTGCAGTGCATGCTGGGGACTCGCATGTACACTTAGTAAATCAGCAGTATTGTTCGATATTAAGTTTATTCAAACAACTCTGTAGTTGAGGGAATATTGTTGGTCTAACATGTGCTTTTATGTAGATTCAAAGTCATTCTCGTTTCCTAGTATCTGTGACTCAGAAAACCCATATGCTGGATGAAATGTAATTGCCTGCTTGCTTTATTTCTTCTTGTTTTAACAGTAAAATCAGTTTAATGACAACAAAACAGGGCCTGTATGTGCTTGAAACACCCCTTACCCTTTTTATTGTACTTTTAAAATAATACAGTAAAACAGCTGTAAATAATAGCTGTAACTATTTGTGCTGTGATACATAGACGTGTCTGTAATCCTGATCCAAATGGAAAATAGTTTTCTTCAAAGATCTGCTGGTTGCAATGCAAGTCTGCCCACAAATTTCCCTTGGGTCTCCTCTTGCAACTTCTACCTCCTCAAACCATCTCCGAATTCCACTCACCTGTCAAAAAGCAAGATAAATAATTGCAGTATTTATCGTTATCACAATCTGTCATACCCATTTGTGAACCTTTGAAAAACATGCAGCATTAAATAAACTAATGAAGTGCACTGTCGCAGTTCTGGCATGTGAGCTTCTGCTCATGTGTTTGATGGAGGTGTTGTAACTTTAAGGAGACCTGGGCTGTACTGCAGAGATGCAATGGAACAACATCATGAATAATGCATAAGCAGCGGCCCAAACCCTGAAGACTTCCACTCTGAAACACCACTTACCAAACAGCCCATAATAAACATGTGCCAGTATATCATTTAAATCTTCACAACCTCACTTTGGCATAAAAGGGCATTTGCTAAGATTAAATCTACATGAGTGATTGATCTTGATAAGATATTTCATTGTGAGGGTAACAATGAGTTTAGTTGACGAATGTGATTTGCTTCTGGAAACTGTTGCAATATGGAACTCAAAAGGAGCAAAGAGAAAAAGTATACAGATTTAAAAGAATAAAGATTTTACAAAAATGTTTTAAATTAGTGTTAAAGTTTAATTTATTTTAATTAAATGTATCACTCATCAAGGTTTCCAAAACAAATTGTTATTGGAATCAATAATTGACTCACTCAAATAACTGCTTTGTATCATAGCAGTCAGTTCATGCAGCAACCAATATTGCGCACCATTCAGCAGTTGCATCGTTCTAGAAAAGTCTGGAACAAACATTCTGACACCTCGTTTGCTGTTATGTACATGCAAAATTTGTTACCTCAAACGTTTTCATGAATCTTTTTGAATTTTGTATAGGTTGGTGGCCTCAAATGAACAAACATCTCTGCTCTGTGCACACAAATCCATCTGGCAGATGGTAGAAATGTTTATAAAAGGTCTGATATCTTGTATCCTTTTTGCAAATTGTAGCACATACAGGTCTAGCGCCTTGCCACAGCGGCATAATAACGCAACTCTATTGCTGATATCTTTGCAAACAGTGAGCACAGTATTTATTAGCCAAGCACGCTGATGTGCATTTGAAGCCAGTGGTAATTTAGCACAGATTTTACAGGGGAGAGTTCCCCCCACAGCCATCCATCACGTAGACATGCAGACTTTCTTAGTTTAAGAGCTTTAGGCAAACACTGAAACAACAGGGGGAGCGCAATGCTAAAGTAGCTACTGTCAAACAAAGTGTTTAAAAACCTATATTTCTCTGCATCAGTCATTTAATGACTTTATATTAAAGCTAGCTAATTGATGTATTAGTGCTTAAAAACATGGGAATTACGCTTCATGGTGCACATCACATGACTGGAGTGAAAGTAGAATTGGACAAAAGCAGGAAGGAGCTCAGGAAAGCTAGACAAGAGGGCTCAAGAGTCCTGACTCTTGACTCGAGAGTTCTCAGTACAGAAGCTGGTGATTGATGTATTTTATTGTCCAGAGGCTTTAAATGTTTAGCCCATTTGCTGGCAGCAAACTAACTTCAGAGCAGAGCAGTTAGACTGTTGCATTTTAAAGAGCGCCAGAGAGTTTGTCATGAAATTTATATTTTAAATATTCTGTTTAAATGCTTTCTCCAATCCCAGCTTAATATGTAAAAGATGTATTTGTTGTGCATTGGTTGATAAATAATGTGATTCTGTGATGCTATCAAAACATCTGTTAGATCTAGATCTTTAAAGTCAAAAGTGAAGTTTTTTGGCTGTTAGTATGAACATGTTAGCCTTAAGGTTATTTATAAGCTTGTGTGTTGACAAAATTGCATTTAGAAGATAAATGCATTCAAAATTTAGTTTCTCTCTACAGATCAGTGATTTTAAAATTGGACAGATTTTCTGTCCAATCAAATGCTTTCTAGAATCTGAAGCGTCCCACCCCCATAAAAGCTGCTGAAACTGAGGCTGAAATCAGTCGCTTGTTCATGCATTTACTATGTTCTGTATGGCAAATGACACATAGTGCACTATGTAAGTGCGATTCAAATAGTTTAAACATGCTTTGGGGTGAATGAAGTCTGGTTTCGTGTCAATGTCAAGCAAACCTCCGCAGAGTGGATCATATGCACGAGTTGGCGCAGACCACAAAACATATCCGACCCACCTGAATTTTACACAGAATGCAATGAAGGAGATAAAAAATGCAAAAGGTTAGACAGCCTAGGCTTTATAAACAGCACTGTATTTTTAAATGCACTAAAATACACTTTTAAATTACACATCATCAGCTTTTCTAAAAATTATCAGTTTTTTTTTTTTCTGTTGTAACAGTTTCAAATCTAAAGGTGGAGACTATTAGACTGATCGAATTCAGCTAAATAAAAATGCGGTTTTGACAGGCTGACACGTTAATGAAATGCTTTTGTAAAACGCTATTTAAAAAAATGACCCACTCGATATATTCTGCCCTGACTTCCTGTTTCAGTTGAAATTTTGTTAACATGTTGAATAACTGTGTGCATCTTTATTTGACCCTCTAACTCTAGCACTCTCTATTCTAATTCTATTCTTTAAAAAAATAAAAATAAATACTTGGCCCTTTTAGACTTGCACTCTATTCATTTACTAACTGCTTGTTTTCTTTAAAAAAAAACACTAGCTTCTGTATTTTTTTAGTATTCTATCTATTTGTTTTCTTTTTATTTATTATACAATTAACAAAAAGCAAAAAAGGCCTCTAACACTAGCCTGCTCTATTCTTTTTCTATTATATCTGTTTTCTTTATATTTATTATATAATAAAAAAAAAGACCTTGCTACATGTGCTGCGTTAGGCTAACTGAGACTTGTCATAGCACGTGCGTATCGTTGCTCTTTTGTTGATTTTGATTGATTCCATTGTCCTCATTTCTAAGTCGCTTTGGATAAAAGCGTCTGCTAAATTACTAAATGTAAATGCATTTCAAGGCACTTCAGTTTGACTTTAATGCTAGAAAGGGGACTTGTTTGGAAAAGCTGCTTGAAAGCAGTAATTTTTCACCCTTCAAGGTGTGTTTGTTGGTAGTGGTTTGTATTATGTGAAATATTCAACCAGTTAACAGTTGGGTAAAGGCTGTTCAGGAGTCTAATACTGAATTTGCTAATACTAATAGTGAATTTGTTATTCACTTCACAAGAAAGTAGTTAGCATTAGTTACAGATATTGATTTGCCTATGGAAATTTCCAATTTCACATGTAAAAATAGCAGCTTCTCTTCTTGTTCAAGAACTTCAGTGCATTTTATTTTCATGTAAAGACTACATTTTGGATATTTTTCCAAAAACAGTCTATAAG